GGTGGCCTAACACCTAGCTAGAATATATGGAGACCTAAAACTTAGAATATGTGGTGGCCTAACACTTAAAATACGTGGAGGCCTAACACCTAGAATATGTGGAGGTCTAACACCTAGAATATGTAGAGGTCTAACACCTAGAATATGTGGAGGCCTAACACCTAGAATATGTGGTGGTCTAACACTTAAAATACGTGGTTTAACACCTAGAATATGTGGAGGCCTAACATCTAGAATTTGTGGAGGTCTAACATCTAGAATAAATGGTGGCCTAACACCTAGAATATATGGTGGCCTAACACCTAGAATATATGGTGGCCTAACACCTAGAATATGTGGAGGTTTAACATCTAGAATATGTAGAGGTCTAACACCTAGAATATGTGGAGGTGTAACACCTAGAATATGTGGAGGTCTAACATCTAGAATATGTGGAGGTCTAACACCTAGAATGTGTGGAGGTTTAACACCTAGAATATGGGGAGATCTAACATCTAGAATATGTGGAGGTCTAACACCTAGAATATGTGGAGGTCTAACATCTAGAATATGTGGAGGTCTAACACCTAGAATATGTGGAGGTCTAACACCTAGAATATGTGGAGGTCTAACATCTAGAATATGTAGAGGTCTAACACCTAGAATATGTGGAGGTGTAACACCTAGAATATGTGGAGGTTTAACATCTAGAATATGTAGAGGTCTAACACCTAGAATATGTGGAGGTGTAACACCTAGAATATGTGGAGGTCTAACACCTAGAATATGTGGAGGTCTAACACCTAGAATATGTGGAGGTCTAACACCTAGAATATGTGGAGGTTTAACATCTAGAATATGTGGAGGTCCAACACCTAGAATATGTGGAGGTTTAACATCTAGAATATGTGGAGGTTTAACACCTAGAATATGTGGAGGTCTAACACCTAGAATATGTGGAATTCTAACACCTAGAATATATGGTGGCCTAACACCTAGAATATGTGGAGGTTTAACATCTAGAATATGTAGAGGTCTAACACCTAGAATATGTGGAGGTGTAACACCTAGAATATGTGGAGGTGTAACACCTAGAATATGTGGAGGTCTAACATCTAGAATATGTGGAGGTGTAACACCTAGAATATGTGGAAGTCTAACACCTAGAATATGTGGAGGTGTAACATCTAGAATATATGGTGGTCTAACACCTAGAATATGTGGAGGTCAAACATCTAGAGTATGTGGAGGTCTAACACCTAGAATATATGGAGGTCTAACACCTAGAATATGTGGAATTCTAACACCTAGAATATGTGGAGGTCTAACACCTAGAATATGGGGAGGTCTAACACCTAGAATATGTGGAGGTCTAACACCTAGAATATGTGGAGGTCTAACACCTAGAATATGGGGAGGCGTAACACCTAGAATATATGGTGGTCTAACACTTAGAATATGTGGAGGTCTAACACCTAGAATATGTGGAGGCCTAACACCTAGAATATATGGAGGTCTAACACCTAGAATATGTGGTGGTCTAACACTTAAAATACGTGGTTTAACACCTAGAATATGTGGAGGCCTAACATCTAGAATTTGTGGAGGTCTAACATCTAGAATAAATGGTGGCCTAACACCTAGAATATATGGTGGCCTAACACCTAGAATATATGGTGGCCTAACACCTAGAATATGTGGAGGTTTAACATCTAGAATATGTAGAGGTCTAACACCTAGAATATGTGGAGGTGTAACACCTAGAATATGTGGAGGTCTAACATCTAGAATATGTGGAGGTGTAACACCTAGAATATGTGGAAGTCTAACACCTAGAATATGTGGAGGTGTAACATCTAGAATATGTGGAGACCTAACACCTAGAATATATGGTGGTCTAACACCTAGAATATGTGGAGGTCTAACATCTAGAATATGTGGAGGTCTAACACCTAGAATATGTGGAGGTCTAACACCTAGAATGTGTGGAGGTTTAACACCTAGAATATGGGGAGATCTAACATCTAGAATATGTGGAGGTCTAACACCTAGAATATGTGGAGGTCTAACATCTAGAATATGTGGAGGTCTAACACCTAGAATATGTGGAGGTCTAACACCTAGAATATGTGGAGGTCTAACACCTAGAATATGTGGAGGTTTAACATCTAGAATATGTGGAGGTCCAACACCTAGAATATGTGGAGGTTTAACATCTAGAATATGTGGAGGTTTAACACCTAGAATATGTGGAGGTCTAACACCTAGAATATGTGGAATTCTAACACCTAGAATATATGGTGGCCTAACACCTAGAATATGTGGAGGTTTAACATCTAGAATATGTAGAGGTCTAACACCTAGAATATGTGGAGGTGTAACACCTAGAATATGTGGAGGTGTAACACCTAGAATATGTGGAGGTCTAACATCTAGAATATGTGGAGGTGTAACACCTAGAATATGTGGAAGTCTAACACCTAGAATATGTGGAGGTGTAACATCTAGAATATATGGTGGTCTAACACCTAGAATATGTGGAGGTCTAACATCTAGAGTATGTGGAGGTCTAACACCTAGAATATATGGTGGCCTAACACCTAGAATATGCGGAGGTCTAACACCTAGAATGTGTGGAGGTTTAACACCTAGAATATGGGGAGATCTAACATCTAGAATATGTGGAGGTCTAACACCTAGAATATGTGGAGGTCTAACATCTAGAATATGTGGAGGTCTAACACCTAGAATATGTGGAGGTCTAACACCTAGAATATGTGGAGGTCTAACATCTAGAATATGTAGAGGTCTAACACCTAGAATATGTGGAGGTGTAACACCTAGAATATGTGGAGGTTTAACATCTAGAATATGTAGAGGTCTAACACCTAGAATATGTGGAGGTGTAACACCTAGAATATGTGGAGGTGTAACACCTAGAATATGTGGAGGTCTAACATCTAGAATATGTGGAGGTGTAACACCTAGAATATGTGGAAGTCTAACACCTAGAATATGTGGAGGTGTAACATCTAGAATATGTGGAGACCTAACACCTAGAATATATGGTGGTCTAACACCTAGAATATGTGGAGGTCTAACATCTAGAATATGTGGAGGTCTAACACCTAGAATATATGGTGGCCTAACACCTAGAATATGTGGAGGTCTAACACCTAGAATGTGTGGAGGTTTAACACCTAGAATATGGGGAGATCTAACATCTAGAATATGTGGAGGTCTAACACCTAGAATATGTGGAGGTCTAACATCTAGAATATGTGGAGGTCTAACACCTAGAATATGTGGAGGTCTAACACCTAGAATATGTGGAGGTCTAACACCTAGAATATGTGGAGGTCCAACACCTAGAATATGTGGAGGTTTAACATCTAGAATATGTGGAGGTTTAACACCTAGAATATGTGGAGGTCTAACACCTAGAATATGTGGAATTCTAACACCTAGAATATGTGGAGGTCTAACACCTAGAATATGGGGAGGTCTAACACCTAGAATATGTGGAGGTCTAACACCTAGAATATGTGGAGGTCTAACACCTAGAATATGGGGAGGCGTAACACCTAGAATATATGGTGGTCTAACACTTAGAATATGTGGAGGTCTAACACCTAGAATATGTGGAGGCCTAACACCTAGAATATATGGAGGTCTAACACCTAGAATATGTGGTGGTCTAACACTTAAAATACGTGGTTTAACACCTAGAATATGTGGAGGCCTAACATCTAGAATTTGTGGAGGTCTAACATCTAGAATAAATGGTGGCCTAACACCTAGAATATATGGTGGCCTAACACCTAGAATATATGGTGGCCTAACACCTAGAATATGTGGAGGTTTAACATCTAGAATATGTAGAGGTCTAACACCTAGAATATGTGGAGGTGTAACACCTAGAATATGTGGAGGTCTAACATCTAGAATATGTGGAGGTGTAACATCTAGAATATGTGGAAGTCTAACACCTAGAATATGTGGAGGTGTAACATCTAGAATATGTGGAGACCTAACACCTAGAATATATGGTGGTCTAACACCTAGAATATGTGGAGGTCTAACATCTAGAATATGTGGAGGTCTAACACCTAGAATATATGGTGGCCTAACACCTAGAATATGTGGAGGTCTAACACCTAGAATGTGTGGAGGTTTAACACCTAGAATATGGGGAGATCTAACATCTAGAATATGTGGAGGTCTAACACCTAGAATATGTGGAGGTCTAACATCTAGAATATGTGGAGGTCTAACACCTAGAATATGTGGAGGTCTAACACCTAGAATATGTGGAGGTCTAACACCTAGAATATGTGGAGGTTTAACATCTAGAATATGTTCAGGTCCAACACCTAGAATATGTGGAGGTTTAACATCTAGAATATGTGGAGGTTTAACACCTAGAATATGTGGAGGTCTAACACCTAGAATATGTGGAATTCTAACACCTAGAATATATGGTGGCCTAACACCTAGAATATGTGGAGGTTTAACATCTAGAATATGTAGAGGTCTAACACCTAGAATATGTGGAGGTGTAACACCTAGAATATGTGGAGGTGTAACACCTAGAATATGTGGAGGTCTAACATCTAGAATATGTGGAGGTGTAACACCTAGAATATGTGGAAGTCTAACACCTAGAATATGTGGAGGTGTAACATCTAGAATATATGGTGGTCTAACACCTAGAATATGTGGAGGTCTAACATCTAGAGTATGTGGAGGTCTAACACCTAGAATATATGGTGGCCTAACACCTAGAATATGCGGAGGTCTAACACCTAGAATGTGTGGAGGTTTAACACCTAGAATATGGGGAGATCTAACATCTAGAATATGTGGAGGTCTAACACCTAGAATATGTGGAGGTCTAACATCTAGAATATGTGGAGGTCTAACACCTAGAATATGTGGAGGTCTAACACCTAGAATATGTGGAGGTCTAACATCTAGAATATGTAGAGGTCTAACACCTAGAATATGTGGAGGTGTAACACCTAGAATATGTGGAGTTTAACATCTAGAATATGTAGAGGTCTAACACCTAGAATATGTGGAGGTGTAACACCTAGAATATGTGGAGGTGTAACACCTAGAATATGTGGAGGTCTAACATCTAGAATATGTGGAGGTGTAACACCTAGAATATGTGGAAGTCTAACACCTAGAATATGTGGAGGTGTAACATCTAGAATATGTGGAGACCTAACACCTAGAATATATGGTGGTCTAACACCTAGAATATGTGGAGGTCTAACATCTAGAATATGTGGAGGTCTAACACCTAGAATATATGGTGGCCTAACACCTAGAATATGTGGAGGTCTAACACCTAGAATGTGTGGAGGTTTAACACCTAGAATATGGGGAGATCTAACATCTAGAATATGTGGAGGTCTAACACCTAGAATATGTGGAGGTCTAACATCTAGAATATGTGGAGGTCTAACACCTAGAATATGTGGAGGTCTAAACACCTAGAATATGTGGAGGTCTAACACCTAGAATATGTGGAGGTCCAACACCTAGAATATGTGGAGGTTTAACATCTAGAATATGTGGAGGTTTAACACCTAGAATATGTGGAGGTCTAACACCTAGAATATGTGGAATTCTAACACCTAGAATATGTGGAGGTCTAACACCTAGAATATGGGGAGGTCTAACACCTAGAATATGTGGAGGTCTAACACCTAGAATATGTGGAGGTCTAACACCTAGAATATGGGGAGGCGTAACACCTAGAATATATGGTGGTCTAACACTTAGAATATGTGGAGGTCTAACACCTAGAATATGTGGAGGCCTAACACCTAGAATATATGGAGGTCTAACACCTAGAATATGGGGAGGCCTAACACCTAGAATATGTGGAGGTCTAACACCTAGAATATGTAGAGGCCTAACACCTAGAATATATGGAGGTCTAACACCTAGAATATCTGGAGGCCTAACACCTAGAATATCTGGAGACCTAACACCTAGAATATGTGGAGGTCTAACACCTAGAATATGTGGAGGTCTAACACCTAGAATATGTGGAGGTCTAACACCTAGAATATGTGGAGGTCTAACACCTAGAATATGTGGAGGTCTAACACCTAGAATATGTGGAGGTGTAACACCTAGAATATGTGGAGGTCTAACACCTAGAATATGTGGAGGTCTAACACCTAGAATATGTGGAGGTCTAACACCTAGAATATGTGGAGGTCTAACACCTAAAATATGTGGAGGCCTAACACCTAAAATATGTGGAGGCCTAACACCTAGAATATGTGGAGGTCTAACATCTAGAATATGTGGAGGTCCAACACCTAGAATATGTGGAGGTTTAACATCTAGAATATGTGGAGGTGTAACACCTAGAATATGTGGAGGTGTAACATCTAGAATATGTGGAGGTCCAACACCTAGAATATGTAGAGGTCTAACATCTAGAATATGTGGAGGTCTAACACCTAGAATATGTGGAGGTCTAACACCTAGAATATGTGGAGGTCTAACACCTAGAATATGTGGAGGTCTAATATCTAGAATATGTAGAGGTCTAACACCTAGAATATCTGGAGACCTAACACCTAGAATATGTGGAGGTCTAACACCTAGAATATGTGGAGGTCTAACACCTAGAATGTGTGGAGGCCTAACATCTAGCTAGAATATTTGGAGGCCTAAAACTTAGAATATGTGGTGGCCAAGCACTTAAAATACGTTGAGGCCTAACACCTAGAATATCCGGAGGCCTAACACCTAGAATATGTGGAGGCCTAACACCTAGAATATGTGGAGGCCTAACATCTAGAATATGTGGAGGCCCAACATCTAAAATATGTGGAGGCCTAACATCTAGAATATGTGGAGGCCTAACATCTAGAATATCTGGAGGCCTGACATCTAGAATATCTGGAGGCCTAACACCAAGCTAGAATGTGTGGAGGCCTAACACCAAGCTAGAATGTGTGGAGGCCTAACACCTAGAGTATGTGGAGACCTAATTCATAGAATATGTGGAGGCCTAACGCCTAGAATATGTGGAGCCCGCATCACACATATAGTAGTTGACGGTATCATCATTTAACACATTGGCAGCTATAATATATTTTTACAACAGTGAAAAGATCCTAATATATATTAAGGAATGCCACTATGTGCTTTTAACAGTATGGGCTGTTTATTGCATTCATCTTGCTAACAAAACCGTCTGTACACATGATGGGCTGTTGTGTTATGAAGCTGTCAGTTCAGGGAAGATGCAGGTGTTGATCAAGTGTGGATTAATTGCCCCAGGTAGGGGCATTCTTTATTGATCTGGGCTCAGCTTGGCCCCATGTGGGAAGGCTAGACTAGTTCAGTGTGGGGCAGTGTTTTGTAGGGCACAACACAGAGGGCAGGTGTGTTCGACAGTGAGGATTATAGATACAGTTAGCTGTTATACCTTCTGTGTAAGTTTTGATGCAGTTCCACATTAGGTACAAACACAGATGTAGTAAGTGGTTTTATATTTTATAACAGTTTGTTGCAGTTTGACATTAGGTACTGATATAGTTACAGTGAGTTGTTTTATACAAGTTTTGGTAGTTTGACCTTCGATACACATAATTAATTAATCAAGAAGTGATATCACTACACTCGGGACATTTCCACACATGCTCTCTCTCTCCTTCCTCGGTAGCCAACATGCTAATTGTACCAGTTACAATCTGAATAAAAGTCCACTTATGTTTCCCCATCAGTGATAATATCTTCCATGACCTTTTCTCATCCATCACCTTCCGGATTGAAATAGTCTTTCAGCGTGTGGATCTGCTGTCTGTTCTATTGCACTGCCCATTTCATACTAGAGAGCTTTAACGTCTTCTGCTTTATCATAAAGTAGCTGCCTGAGAAAAGCATCCAATCAAACCATACGAGATCGAATGAATAATGAAACTATCAGACAAATTGTGGGAATGACACCTTGTACTAGATTCATCGAGAAACAGCAGATCAAGTGGTTTGGCCATCTTGTTAGAATGCAGCAAGATCAAATACCATCACAAGCACTGCATCTCAGAAGATCAGCTACAAGAGCAAGAGGACGGCCGTGGAAAACATGGATCGACAACATTAAAGACACTCTACGCCTTCACGGCATGACAATAGCCAGTGGCAGCCAACGTGCACTGGATCGCAAATTATTCCTCCCCACGACGGCAGAAGTGGTTTATGAAGATGATGGTGATGACTGCCCAGAGGAGTGACATCAGCTAATCTATCAGCATGCTCATTCCGTCAAACACTTAAATATCCTGTACCGAATATCCATCATTTTCTCCTGATTTGAGTCTTATCAGGTGGGCAAGACATGCAGGGTGATAGTTTCAGTTTTTCCAAGCTTGCTCTGTGAGTCTGCTACAATTACAATAGACTGGACTGTGCTTCTGTCAAGCCATTCAAAAGCTACCGTTACTGCCTTCACCTCCATTCTCATACTAATTGTTATGACATTGTATGGAAGGCTCTCTGATTTCAAACAATGTCATTCGATTTTGCAATAAAACCTCACCAACTCTTCTTACCTCTCACTACAGTCCCATATGTATATGGTACAGCTGAAGGTACAGTTAGTTGTTTTACAGTTTATGTGAGTTTCAGTAAGTTTGACAATCACTACAAATATAGGTACACTTCGCTGTTTACATACTATACAAGTTTTTGGTACCAGTTGGGATTAGGTACACATATAGATATAGTTAGTCATTTTTTATTTGATACAAGTATTTGTATAGTTACTTTACTTTACATTTGATATCTGGATTAGTAAAGAAAAGTCATTTAGCAATGGTTAAAAGGATATGTATAGTATTAGTAAGTGACAGTACATTTTGATTTATTGTATGGACTAGTACGGTTGCTGGAATTTCACCTCTACCTGGAGATTCCCTATAATTCCCTCCCTCGGTGAAGATTAGCTGGGCTCAACAGAAAAGTATCTTGGGTAAATAAGATTAATAGGTCCCAGGCTTCAGTTGATAAGAAGAAAGTTAATAAGGATTGACAAAGTAGAAAAACAAGTATAGGGTCAGTGCTCTGAAAATAACTGAAGATATAATTACTCTCCAAATAAACGTGTTAATAATGAAGTTGCATTAAATTGGTAACTGAATTTTAAATATTGAAATGATCTGTATAAACCACTATATAATTCAAATCAAGTTGGTTCAAAAATACTAATTCACTTAATAATATGCTATGCTAATAAAAACCTACCCAGACTCTACGCTTCAGTTTAGCAGCAAATAAAATTAGCTTTTATCATATTACACTAAAATATAAGAACTTGCAACACTTAACAGTCACTTAGCTTACAGTTCGATTTGATGAAATACTGTGTTTCTTGGGTGTTAGTCTGTTCAGATTTCACTACACGGCTTCAGCAGATTTCAAACAAGGTATTGTTATCCACAACCTGAGGAGCACAGACTGGCTTCCAACAAGCTATAGGAAACTGTCACAGTCAATTCTTCTTGTCTTGTTGGATATTTTAGGTTTTTAAATTGAACCTGAATTCTAAAATATTTTGTTAACTCCACATAATATTTTACAGACTGATAGAAAGGCTTTGACACTGTTGGGTCATGGCAGTGAATAACTACATATTGTTTTTTGTATCTAAGAAAACATTACAGAATCAGTGCTCTGAAAACTTCCACACAGTGTAGTGTTATTCCCACAATGTATTTTTTTAAAGTGTGCATATGTTTTTAATGTGAAATGTGTTAACTCTTGGAGGGCTGAAGTTTTCCTGTGATTTGTAACAGTCATAAAGCAAAGGATAGAAGGATATGTTTAGTTTCTGATCTTACATTTTGATTTATGGATTAGTACAGTTAGTCATAGTTATTTTACATTTGACACATGGATGTTTATAGATTCATTTTACCAATGGTACAAGTGTCTATTTAGTCATTTTACATTTGACACAAGACTGTGTATAATCATGTGACACTTGATACTGGGATATTATAAGGACAAGGGTATAAGTGGAGGTGGAAGAAAAAGAGGAATATGGGAATGTTAATAACAATAAAAAGCAATAGATGCTTAAGAAAACAAAACAGAAGAAAATCTTGGGGGAGGGGGGGGGGGAAACGGTTGCTATTTGATTCATAAATTGTGAAGCAGGTTTAAGCTCATGGTGAGAACTTTAGCTTCCATTTGAGACTGCACCTTTCCATTTTATTACCTGCAGATAGTGAATTTTCTGGGAAATGGGGAGGGCGGGGGTCCCTGTGTGATTACTTTTAATTATTAGGGGTGCTTAAGGCTCAGTAAGTTTGTGAGTCTGTGGTCCAGAGCAGGTAGATCTTATTGGATGAAGTCAGGCTCACAAAATTTGTAGGGCTCATAATTAAGCATGATGCACTTCACTAGGAATAGAAGTGAAGAAAAAAAGAAGTACAGTTTTGTTAATACTTGTTTTAATCAGCTGTTTCTCTTTCATTTTTCAGGTTGGTATTGACAGTTTGTTTAAACTGGCAATTTTCGGATAATCCTACCGTGTTTGGATATTACCAGACGTGGATAATTCGGCCATATTTGAATAACCTGGCAGTCAGCATTTCTTAATTCAGTATTTATCAGCGTAGCAGAAAATCAGCCGTCCATGGATGCATTTTTTATATGTATTATATTCATTCTCTTTTCCTGCTGAAATCAATATTTTTGGGAAACTTTACCAATCTTCTGCATTATAATCATTCTCTTGTGGGATCTTTGGCTTCCTGCTGCCTTCCTGAATGGAAATTCCTGATCTATTGCTTATGCTTACAACTGTGGGACACCATTACTGTGTGGACTCTGGGAAATTAACACTCAAACATCTGGTGGGGGCGTGTTGTGCATGGCACACTGCAACCTTATGGACACTTCATCATTAAAAATTCAACATCTTGTGGGGTGACATTCTTTGGTCAAATATGGGACATGGCCACTTTGTGGTAATTTCAACATTGACAATCAAACATATTGTTGGCCTTTTTGTGTGTGACAATCTTGTGTGAAATGTGGGATACGGCCCCTGTGCGGACACTGGGACACTGACAATCAAACTACCCTGTGTGGACTTGTTGCCTGGGACATTCTGAATGTCAACTTTGGCTGTGCCATGGATGTAGACCACACGGAAACTGAGGCCCTGCTGGTGGACTTCATGGAACCCAGGCTGCAGAACAGCAGGTAAGGAGGTTGGAAGTCTGTAGTGTCTAGGTGTGCTGTTGTAACTAGTCCATTTTGTGTGGTGTCTGGGTGTGCTTATGTAACTAGCCCCTGTTGTGTGGTGTCTGGGTGTGCTTATGTAACTAGTCCCAGTTGTGTGGTGTCTGGGTGTGCTTATGTAACTAGTCCCTGTTGTGTGGTGTCTTGGTGTGATTATGTAACTAGTCCCTGTTGTGTGGTGTCTGGGCGTGCTTATGTAACTAGTCCCTGTTGTGCGGTGTCTTGGTGTGATTATGTAACTAGTCCCTGTTGTGTGGTGTCTGGGCGTGCTTATGTAACTAGTCCCTGTTGTGTGGTGTCTGGGCGTGCTTATGTAACTAGTCCCTGTTGTGTGGTGTCTGGGCGTGCTTATGTAACTAGTCCCTGTTGTGTGGTGTCTGGGCGTGCTTATGTAACTAGTCCCTGTTGTGTGGTGTCTGTTCGTGCTTATGTAACTAGTCCCTGTTGTGTGGTGTCTGGGCGTGCTTATGTGACAAGTCCCTGTTGTGTGGTGTCTGGGCGTGCTTATATAACTAGTCCCTGTTGTGTGGTGTCTGGGTGTGCTTATGTAACTAGTCCCTGTTGTGTGGTGTCTGGGTGTGCTTATGTAACTAGTCCCTGTTGCCTGGTGTCCGGGCGTGCTTATGTAACTAGCCCTTGTTGTGTGTTGTCCTGGTGTGCTTATGTAACTAGCCCTTGTTGTGTGTTGTCCTGGTGTGCTTATGTAACCAGCCCCTGTTGTGTGTTGTCCTGGTGTGCTTATGTAACTAGCCCTTGTTGTGTGTTGTCCTGGTGTGCTTATGTAACCAGCCCTTGTTGTGTGTTGTCCTGGTGTGCTTATGTAACCAGCCCTTGTTGTGTGTTGTCCTGGTGTGCTTATGTAACTAGCCCCTGTAGTGTGTTGTCCTGGTGTGCTTATGTAACCAGTCCCTGTTGTGTTGTCCTGGTGTGCTTATGTAACTAGCCCTTGTTGTGTGTTGTCCTGGTGTGCTTATGTCACTAGTCCTTGTTGTGTGTTGTCCTGGTGTGCTTATGTAACTAGCCCTTGTTGTGTGTTGTCCTGGTGCGCTTATGTAACCAGCCCTTGTTGTGTGTTGTCCTGGTGTGCTTATGTAACCAGCCCCTGTTGTGTGTTGTCCTGGTGCGCTTATGTAACCAGCCCTTGTTGTGTGTTGTCCTGGTGTGCTTATGTAACCAGCCCCTGTTGTGTGTTGTCCTGGTGTGCTTATGTAACTAGCCCCTGTTGTGTGTTGTCCTGGTGTGCTTATGTAACTAGCCCTTGTTGTGTGTTGTCCTGGTGCACTTATGTAATTAGCCCTTGTTGTGTGTTGTCCTGGTGTGCTTATGTAACTAGCCCTTGTTGTGTGTTGTCCTGGTGTGCTTATGTAACTAGCCCTTGTTGTGTGTTGTCCTGGTGTGCTTATGTAACTAGCCCTTGTTGCGTGTTGTCCTGGTGTGCTTATGTAACTAGCCCCTGTTGTGTGTTGTCCTTGTGTGCTTATGTAATTAGCCCCTGTTGTGTGGTGTCCTAGTGTGCTTATGTAATTAGCCCCTGTTGTGTGTTGTCCTGGTGTGCATATGTAATTAGCCCCTGTTGTGTGTTGTCCTGGTGTGCTTAAGTAATTAGCCCCAGTTGTGTGGTGTCTGGGCGTGCTTATGTAACTAGTCCCAGTTGTGTGTTGTCCTTGTGTGCTTATGTAATTAGCCCCTGTTGTGGGTTGTCTTGGTGTGCTCATGTAACTAGTCCTTGTTGTGTGTTGTCTTGGTGTGCTTATGTAACTAGCCCCTATTATGTTATTTCTGGGTGTGCTTATGTAACTAGCCCCTGTTATGTTATTTCTGGGTGTGCTTATGTAACTAGCCCCTGTTATGTTATTTCTGGGTGTGCTTATGTAACTAGCCCCTGTTATGTTATTTGTGCTTATGTAACTAGCCCCTGTTATGTTATTTCTGGGTGTGCTTATGTAACTAGCCCCTGTTATGTTATTTCTGGGCGTGCTTATGTAACTAGTCCCAGTTGTGTGGTGTGTGAGTGTGCTTATCTAGCTAACCCCTGTTGTGTGGTGTCTGAGTGTGCTTATGTAACTAGCCCCTGTTGTGTGTTGTCCTTGTGTGCTTATGTAACTAGCCCCTGTTGTGTGTTGTCCTTGTGTGCTTATGTAACTAGCCCCTGTTGTGTGTTGTCCTTGTGTGCTTATGTAATTAGCCCCTGTTGTGTGGTGTCCTAGTGTGCTTATGTAATTAGCCCCTGTTGTGTGTTGTCCTGGTGTGCATATGTAATTAGCCCCTGTTGTGTGTTGTCCTGGTGTGCTTAAGTAATTAGCCCCTGTTGTGTGTTGTCCTGGTGTGCTTATGTAACTAGCCCCTGCTGTGTGTTGTCCTTGTGTGCTTATGTAATTAGCCCCTGTTGTGGGTTGTCTTGGTGTGCTCATGTAACTAGTCCTTGTTGTGTGTTGTCTTGGTGTGCTTATGTAACTAGCCCCTATTATGTTATTTCTGGGTGTGCTTATGTAACTAGCCCCTGTTATGTTATTTCTGGGTGTGCTTATGTAACTAGCCCCTGTTATGTTATTTCTGGGTGTGCTTATGTAACTAGCCCCTGTTATGTTATTTGTGCTTATGTAACTAGCCCCTGTTATGTTATTTCTGGGTGTGCTTATGTAACTAGCCCCTGTTATGTTATTTCTGGGTGTGCTTACGTAACTAGCCCCTGTTATGTTATTTCTGGGTGTGCTTATGTAACTAGCCCCTGTTATGTTATTTCTGGGTTTGCTTATGTAACTAGCCCCTGTTATGTTATTTGTGCTTATGTAACTAGCCCCTGTTATGTTATTTCTGGGTGTGCTTATGTAACTAGCCCCTGTTATGTTATTTCTGGGTGTGCTTTTGAAACTAGGTCTTGGAGAGCTCAATCAGACACAATTTTGAATTCATCTGGTTAAACTTCAATAGACTTTGGGTTTGAAATTCATGGAAAACTCACAAGAGAATCGCTAAGAAATCTTAATGTAATCATTTTGATCATTCCCCCTGAAATGACTCTGCGTCAACTAATTAACCTGTATTTATGTTTCAAACGGATTCCTGGAATTCTCGAAGCATTGAGAATGAGTGAGAAATCAGCCTAATGTGTAGTTCTAAGGAGTTTCTTATAAACATGTAGTAAGTTTACCAGTACTGAAAGAGTTAAAGTATGACCTACAGATAAACACCGTTGTGGAAACAGTTGTCACGCTCACTGAAACAACATTCACATCAGATGGAAACAATCTACTTTCTTTGGTCATGTCATGAGAATAGGAAAACTTAAGTACATCCTGACCTTACGATAGTTAGAGGCAAATGATGCAGAGACAGACAGAGAGAGAAGATAAGCCACATCAGAGGGAAACAATCTACTTTCTTTGGCCATGTCAAGAGAAAATAAAAGCTGGAGTACATCTTGACCTACAATAGTTTGAGGTAAACGATGCAGAGGGAGACAGAGAACGAACGAACGAAAGAAACAAACTTGATTTTCAAAGGGTTACAAATTGGGCATGCAGGCCCGTCTGACATTCGGCCCTTCTAAGCACTCGTTTTCCAGAGTACCAATGCGTGTTATCTAACCGTCTGACATTCAGCCCTTCTAAGCACTCGTTTTCCAGAGTACCAATGCCTGTTATCTAACCGTCTGACATTTGGCCCTTCTAAGCACTCGTTTTCCAGAGTACCAATGCCTGTTATCTAACCGTCTGACATTCGGCCCTTCTAAGCACTCGTTTTCCAGAGTACCAATGCCTGTTATCTAAAATGCATGTTATGGATATAGAATAAAAATGTACATTATAGAATATAATACATACATCATGTGTACACAGTCTTACACACTCACACACTTATATATATGCTCTCACATTCTCATATATGCATACATACATATACACACACACACACACACACACGCGCGTGCGTGTGCGCGCGCACACACGCACGCACGTGCGCACACACACACACACACAGATATATATACACAAACAGAAAAGACACAAACATACATATATGGACATATATGCACACACACATACATATATGGACATATATGCACACACACATTCCATACATACACACCTTCACATGCATGCATGCATACACACACATACAATCACATGTACAGACACCCACAACCACACATTTACACTCACATGTAAAAATACATACACACATACATGCATACTTGCATACATACCTAAATACACACACGTACACCCACATACTTATACATCTACAAATGCATACACACATCCACAAACACACACCCACATACATGCCGACACACATTACATACATACCCACACATGCATGCGTACACACATATACAATCACCCATACACATACTCACATACATACATACACTCATGCATACATACATACTTGCCTACATTATGTACACACATACCCACAATCACACATCTTGTAATCTGGTAATCCTAGTTTCAGCTTCATAGCAGACGGGTCACCCCACATATGCTCCGCTCCTGTGCCAACGAAAAACAAATGCAGCTCACAGTGTCACGCCATGCACTCAACTCAGAAGCTGGGCGACGAAACTACATCCTTCCAGTCTACAAATGGAGCAAAAATGCAACGACCACCATCTGGCTAAAACAAAAAAAAACAAAAAAAACATTTGCCATGGCTTTAAAAAAAAAAAATGGTGGCCGTACCTAGCGTCCATTTTGACCGGAAGAATTATATGAGGGTTGATAAACGGTCAC